CCTCCCTCCCCCTTGTGAAATTACCAGACATCAGAGGCTGCCACTACCACACCCTTTTTGCGCAGTGGCTTAGAGGAATGCTAGTACGTTACTTATAGCTTAGTATGTCAAATTGTAAGGCAGGAAAACAGACAAAGTGCCTTGGGACAAATGGGTTTTGAGAATCATTGTCAGAGAATAAAAAGGTAGAACCATTCAGGTCACCTGAGTGAGGAAACAGGTACAGAGAGTAAAGTTCTTTGTCTATGATGAAGCCACCACATCTAAGTGGTAGCTGACATATTGAGACCATGAGACCTCATTAGGAGACCAAAATGCGGACCTAGGATCTACCTCAGTGACATGCAGGAGCTCAAGAACAAGAGATAGAAATTAAAGAGAAAAAGAAAGGAAGTTTGTCCTATGGGACAAAACCCATGCTGAAGTGTTGGAGCATCATGACCCTGTCAGATGAGTTGAGTCTGCCTTCTATTCCAATGAAAAAGCTCTGACTGCAGAGCGGCAAACTCTTTCCAAGTGTTAGGCTCTGTGCACCAAAGGGCTTTTGGCTTCCAGCAGGTTGGCACTCTGAATCCTCAGGACTGAACAGAAAAAGGACCATAGTCCCTGGTCCGACTGCTGGCAATGCTATACGTCAACAAGATATTCCCCCAAATCTTGAGCAAACAGAAAAGGCAGATGCAAGGAAATGTACAACCCTTAGCAGTTAGTAATCAAGAGTTGACTCAGGGTGGGTGTTTGGAAGGATTCAGCCTCCGTCCTGCCTGGTGCTGGGATCAGCTCACACGGCTCCTGTGTCCACAGGGCACAGAGAATACATTGTCCATAAGGAGGATTATTCTCTACAAGAAGCTCAGACAAAGAGAGAGGTTGTTTTCAGCTGCCTGGGGGAGGTGGGAAGGGGGTGGGAAAAGGGACCAGCCTTGCACTGGGGCATTCCTGCAGAGTTCAGCTTCTTCCCTTTGGCAGCAGCACTGGAGATGCCCTCCAACTCAGTCTCACACCCAACCTCTCCCCAGAACCCATTATGGAGACCAGAGGAGCACTTGTTTATAACCTAATCTATCTTGGCTGTTTCCTAAGAAAAACAGTGAGGTGAGCTAAGTCAATGTAGCAATAGATGACAGAAAGAGAAGAGAATGGGGTAATTGGGGCAGTGAACCAAAGGAAGGCTTCAGCAATGACTGAGTGCCAGCCTTAAGGCTAAGCAGGGAGGAGAGAGCCTAGGCAATGGGTATCATGCTGACATCGATTCACACAGCCCAACAAGTCTCTATATTTACCAGGATGAACTCTTGGGCTGTAGGAAGAGCTTGAGGTTTTGCACACCTGCTGCTTCTTTCTTTAACCTAGACACAAACCTGGAAAGCAATGCCTAATCGCTTTCCCCAGGGTCCCCTAGGGTAGGAGAAAGCACAATTTCCAGGCAAAATAGGGCAGTCAGAAACAGATGAATGCTACCAGAGTGGGGAGATTCATCTTTTGCAAATCCTAAATCTGCGCAAGTAAGCAGGGCAGATCTCTTTCTTCAAAAGAAACCCCATACATATTCCCTTCTGAGAGAAAGCCATCCTATCGATGAATATGATGACTGTATTAGGGATAGGAGCTACATACCCTCCAGTGAGATATTTATGGGGTTGTATGGGCCCCAGAGGAGCCCTGGTGACACAGTGGTTAAAGCACTTGGCTGCTAACCAAAAAGTCAGTGGTTTGAAACCACCAGCTGCTCCACAGGAGAACGACAGGGCAGTCTGCTTCTGTAAAGATTTATGGCCTTGGAAACCCTATGGGGAAGTTCTACTCTGTCCTATAGGGTCACTATGAGTTGAAAGCAACTCAAAACAGTGGGTTTGGTTCTCATTTACATGGGCCACAGAGTGGGAGATGGCTACAGAGATTTGTGAACCCAGAGGATTTTTTTTTTTTTTTTCTGGAGGAGGTGATGGAAATAAGCACATGTGCTCCCAGAGTGAGGAATATACAAGTGTGGGTGCTCCAGAATACAATATCTGCTTAAGGGGACAAGATGTAGGTGAGGTCCTGTTAACCAGGAAGACATTACCACTCTTAAAGGATAAGAAATCCATTTTTAAATAGTGTGGTAGGAAAGAAGTATTAGCCCAGAACAATGAACTTAGGGTTGATATCACTCAAAGGGAGGAATCCTTCGGTAGAGTAAAGGACAGTAGTCACTAAAAGATCCTCCAAGGATTTCAGAGCAGCACAGTTTGAACCCTTATGCAATATAATTAGTTTGAACATTTCCAGTGGAAAAGGAACAGATGGAAAGCTAAAGAACACATAGGTGGGCTAATGGAGGAGTAGGGTAGTTCTAAGTGGAAGAAAGGCCTGTCCTTGACTCAAAGGACCCCCTGCACTGCTGTGTCCTGTGCTGGTCAATGAGCTGTATGGATACCTTTTCTCATCTTGATGGAACAGAAGGGATGTGACATCTGGAACCACTTGTCCAGTCCTTTGCTGCCACAATCTGGTAGAATTCTGCCTGGCACCTAATAAATGCTAGTCAAGTACTTGTGTGTGGTGGGAGGATTTAAAAAATTAAAAAAACTCACTGCGGTCATTTTCCAACTCATAGGAAGATATGAGCAGGAGGAAGTCTCAATACTTTCAGATCAAAGCTAATTAAAGCTAAAACTTTTTATGGAGAACAAATTAGATTGCCTTGAAGCACCCTTAAAATTGTCCCTGATCCTTTTACAAACCAAAAATCAGAACCACTGCGATCAAGTCGATTCTGACTCATAGCAACCCTGATTTGGTTTCCAAGGTAGTAAATCTTTATGGAAGTAGCCATGGAGTGGCTGGTGGGTTTGAACTGCCAACCTTTTGGTTAGCAATCAAATGCCTTACACATTGTAAGCTCCACCAGAGCTCCTTAATCTTTATATAGCCCTCTCATACTTCTTGTTCACTTTTGCTGTCTCAAACTCAGTCCTTGTCCCCAAAGGAGGTTTGCAGCATAGGCTAGATATCCAAATTCACTGTTCTTCAACTTTATAAAAGCAGATAAAGGTACTGGGGGCTGCCCCCTCTTACAACCCACCTGGCTCTTATTTGAGCGCTAGGTTCAGTGGAATAGAAGAAAGCCATCCTGGTTAAAGTCCAGGAACTAGACATGATTATGAAAACAACTAGATCCTAATGAGAGCCTGAAGGGCAATTGCCTCCTTCCTCCAAAAATATGAATGAGTCCAGGGGAAGAAGGAACTTTTTCATGTGCTAAGAATATGACCCTTTCTCCCAGAGTCCTGCCTGGTAGAGCCACTTCCTGAGGAAACATCTTTATTCACATTCATGGGAGAGGGAAGGCAGTTGGGTGTAGTAAAAGACAGGGGACTTTGTGACTATGTCCCAGGAAAGAAGTGAATTGGCTTGTCAGAGGATAGAGTACAGCAGGCCTAAGTTTGACCAGAACTGCAGGTGGATAGCCTGTTCAGTCCAGAAGCCTCTTTACCTGAAGCATGGAAGGATGGCTAGGATGGAGCCTGGGAAGCAGGGGCCTGCAGAGATATTGTGCCTCTAAAGGATATAGAGGCTGGTAGTTTCTGTCAGTACAAAACAAATACGTGCCATCAAATACAACTGAGAGCTCTATGGTGCAGTGAAATTACTTAATTCAGCTCTTCTAGCCATAGCTACAATAACTGGATAAAAACCAAACCAAACTCACTGCCACCCAGTCGATTCCGACTCACAGTGGACCACCCCCCGCCCCCCGGGTTTCCGAGGTGGTAAATCTTTATGGAAGTAGATTGCCCCATCTTCCTTCAGCAGAGTGGCTGATGGATTTGAACCACCAATCTTCTAGTTAGCACTGGCACTGTGCCACCAGAGCTCCTTACAATGACTGGATGTTGTTGTTGTTATGTGCCGTTGAGTCAGACCCGACTCAAATGACCCCCTGGGTCCCTTGGAAACCCACCACACTGGGTTTCCAAGGTGGTATCACTACATAAGTAGATTGTCCAACCTTCCTTCCGAGGAGTGGCTGGTAGGTTTACCACCAGCCTTCTGGTTAGCAGTCAAGTGCCTTAGGCACTGCGCTACCAGAGCTCCCACAATGATTGGATAGGACCATGCAAATAAGATGTATGGAACCTAGTTGGGGTTACATGTCAACTTGGCTAGGCCATAAATCCCAGTATTGTGTAGTTGTTCTCCATTTTGTGATCTGATGTAATTATCCTCCACTGTGTGCTGTAAATCCTGACCTCTGTATATTAATGAGGCAGGACTATGGTCAGTTGTACTCAAGTCTTACTTGAATCATACCTTTTATCTTACACGAGAAAAAGGGTGAGAGAAGCAAACAGAGTGGACCTGACTACCACCAAGGAGAGATGTGCTGCACAAAGCGTGTCTTTTGGACATGTGGTCCCTAGGCTGGGAACCTCCCAGACCCCGGAGATAGAGACCTGTAACACTGGAGACAGTGAGATGGCAGCAATAGCAGAGAAACAGAGGCAGCAGAACCAGGAGATTGGCAGGAGATGGCGTGGTGGGTTTTCTGGCCCACAGAGTCAAGAGACAAAAGTGCCTACAGGTCAAGGCTTACTTGGGGTGTAGGGTGCCTCTGGGCACTTATCGGTGGAGCTAAAGTACTTTGTGACACTTGCTTGGGAATGGCAGGGCCCAGAAGCAGAGGACAAGAAGAGACTGTCCTGATCAAAGAACTGTATCCTGAGTAATTTCTGATCTAAATTATAATCTGTCACTTCCCTACTAAACCCTACATCATGAATATTGTTGTGAATTTTGTGTGGCCATTGCAATGAATTACTGGATCAAGTAAAGACTGCCATAGGAGGAATGGCTGTGTCAAAATTGGCTAAAAGGCTGCAAGAGGAGCTATGCCTGACCCTCTCCACTTCATAGGAATCAGCCTTGGGCTGCTGATGCTGATGATTCTCCTCCCTGCTTATGAAGTTGGATGCAGAGGTCTCATACTGCCACTACTCCATTTTTACAAGGTCTAAGATCTTGTGTCCATCAGCTCACCCTGACATAAAGCAGTATCAGATCACAAAAGTCCTGGATCAAGGATTGTGGAGGACCATGGAGAGAAGTGATTGCAGAAACTATCATTTATTGAATATTCATTATTTCATGTACTGTACTAAGTGTTTTACATTCATTTTCTCACTTTAATCTTCACAACAATCCTGAAGTAGGTGTTACCATCCCCACTTCACAGATGAAGAAACCAGTTCAGAAAAATTAGGTCACTTGCCCAAGGTCAAACAGCTAGTCAGTGCTGGGGTTTGTCTGTTGCCAAAAGCCCATGTTCTTTTATTGTACCCATTTCATCAGCACTGGGCAAAAGGTAATCTCACTGCCCAGCTCTGTAAAGATCACCTGGGATTGGAAGTTTCCAGCCACACTCACCGCTGGTAGGGATGCATTGAAGCTGACTTGATGTTGGTTTTTATTCCACTTGGCATTTTCCCTAAAAGGAACAAGGAGAAAGACACCTGAAGCAAGGTAGACCTTCATGATAAATCAGTAATGTGGTGTCTCAAGTTTCCTTCTACCAACTCCTCTACCGTCTCAGAACTACTGTGGTACCTAACCCTGGGTGGCATATATTTTAGTGAACAAAGGTGTGATTCCTTCCCCAGATCTCTTCCTCAAGGTGTCTAGGAAGGAGGAGATGGCACAAGGGACTAGTGGGAGAGTTTAGAACATCCTCAAGCAGAGCTTCCTGCTCATCTACCCCTGGCAGGGAGAGCTAAACTTGGGTGATTACCCACACCCTGCACACACATTTAATGTCACAGGGAGTACTAATAATAGAGAATATAGAGTACTATATTCTCTATTATTTCATTTGTCCCTTTTCCTGGATAATTGGGAAGAAGTATCTCTTCTGGCTAATTGAATCTGAATAACTCCTATTGTTCTCATAATTATAAGAAGTGAGGAAGAGAAAAGGCAAAAACCCAAAAGCAAGAGAGCCAGTATACAGAGAAAAGAATATATGTGGGACTGAGAAATTTACCTGCTTCTCAACTTCTGATGCACCTGCCAAATGACCTCAAGGTCCAACAATTGATTTCTATATCTAACAAAGAACACTGACAAGACACCTCATATCCAAAGTAAATGGGATAGAAGGGTAATTGACACAGAACTCTGAGATGGAGATACAAGGACAAAAGTAGTCTGTGATACTCAAAAGTTCATCCATACTCTCTGGTGCCTGTTGCAGAATCTCAAAATGCATTTTTCACTTCTGAAAACTTTTCCTGGTCACGGTCCAAAGGGAAATCTCAAGGTCTGGGGATACCAGGGACCCAAATAAGCCAGCTTATTCCCACTCCCCTGCTCCAAGTGACCTACATTTCAATCTCTACCACCTTACCTGGCTGACCTGCTTGGGCCATCTGTACTCCACTGAGCATTGACTGCTGCTGGTTTGAAGCTCCTGTCATCTGCACCTGCTGCAATCCTGAGGCTCCTGCAAGGATTGTCCCAGCTCCTGGCTGGCCTGGCTGACCAGGACCACTGCTACCTGAGGGTCTCCAGTTAGACAGCCCTTTCCCAAAGGCAACAGCTGCCACCAAGGCATTGGTGTCTGCAGGGTTAAACGTCTGCTTGTTCTGCCGGAGACCTGAAGGAAAATGCAAGTGAGGACACTGAGGTATGCATCTGGTCCTAGTAGCTAGAAGACCAGTGTGAGTGCCAAGGCTTGGAGCTTTGCCTTAAGCAATATCCATATTCCCTGGCAACCAGTGCCAGAGACAGAGCTAGAGGACCCCCAAGCCTATTTCAGAATTCTCCCTTTTCATTGCCCATTTCTTCATCTTGCTCCAGGGCTGGCCTTAAATAGGAAAGGCTAACAAAGTGGATGCAAATGCTTTCCTATGCAGCTCATTCTTGTATCTTCATTTCCCTACTGATAAGGCAATCATTTCTACTTCAGTGATCTTATTATTCCTCTCTCCCTCTCCACTTTGTTGTCAATCCCTCCATACCTCCACTCTCTGATTCTCGTTCCTCTTTGCTGATTTTCTCCAGAAGGTTTGAACACATTTTATTCAAGCTCTGGATCTGCTTCTGTAACACACACATTTATGCAGAGATTAGAGCAAGCAAGAAATGATCAAGGGGGAGTTTCTTCCTTGTGCTCTTCTAGTGATACATTGCTGTTGTTAGCTGCTATGGAATCGTCCCCTGACTCATGGCAACCCCACGCATGATGAGATAGAACCACTGTGATCCAAAGTATTTTCACTGGGTGATTTTTGGAAGTAGACTACCAGGTCTTTCTTCCTAGTCTGTTTTAGTTTGGAAGCTCTGCTAAAATCTGTTCAGCATCATAACAGCATACAAGCCCCCCAACAGACGTAGAGATAATCAGTTGCCCATCCCTGCTAGACAGAAATGGTACTGTCAAGTTCCTCATGAAGGGATGCGGGGATTGAGGGACACCCGGGCAGAGCTTCAATCCAACCTGGGCTGCATCAGCACCAATTCGAGCAGCATCTGTCGTCAGTTGCTTTTCCTGCTCTTCAACTTCAGGGTCAGGCTTGGTTCTTAAATGGTCAGGCACTACCTCGTGGCTGAAAACAGGTACCCGTCCCTCAGTCTGCCGCTGCAACACACAGATTTTCCTATTATGCATGCCAAGAAGATCCAGTCTGGCTCCACATATTCACTTCCACAGGTAAAAGTGCATTTTCTGGGAAAACAAATCCTGAGACTTACAATATCTAGCTTCCTAGGAGACTGTCCACTCCATTTCACTCTTTATTTCTATCTCCTCACACCCTATCTCTACTAGACTGATGGGCAAATTAAACTTTTTTTCCCTGCTACATTTTCATCAAAGACTAAAATAGGCAAAGTCACAAAAGAACAGACTTTTTGTTAAAGACAGGTGTTGGAGGAGAAAGGTCTTTACCTTGGTAACACAGGCCTCAGGTTATTACACTAGTATTTGGGAGTGACTTTCCCAACCCCAGAAAAACAAAAAGACCTCCAAAATATAGGACTCACTTCTTATTACCACTCACTACTCCATATTCAGAACTTCCAGAATAATTAATCAACAATTATGTTCTAGGCCCTCAACTATGTTGTACAACCATGTTGTATCCTTTGCCTCCTCTTACCATGAGATCTTCATCTCGGTCTGGGGACAACACCAGAGGGATGATGACCTGGTTACGGAACAGTGGTGTCTTTTCATGCTTCAAGACCTTGTTCAGGGTGTTCAGCTGTCCAGAGAGCAAGGCAAAGCTGTCTAGGACCGAAGGCCTGGGGGTGACAAGACGGAATCAAAATGTTCTATCCCTTTCCTCAAAGGGGGTCCTTCATACCAGAATTACCCAGACTCACCCCAAAAAGATTCACAGCACTATGACTGGCCAGAATAGCTCATGGGGATTGTGGGATTAGGAAAAAGGGACATATTTTCAATTTCTGATATAGATGTAGGAAAAGGAACTGTTCATTGTTTGAATAGAGTGAAGAATAAAGGCCAAATAGGAACCATGGCTCCACTGTTATCATTAAAAACTCAGCTACTGGGTAAAAGCCTCTTTTCCGATCTACAAACAGGATCCACACTTCTACAGTAGGCTGAACCTAAAGATTCAGCCATATCTGTGCCAACAGATCTAGCATGAATAGAGCTGAAGAGATGACTTCTTCATCATAAAAGTACAAAAACAAGAATCAGGAGCTAAAAAGAACCTGATCTGTGAAACTAGGCATTTCTCTACTTTTGCCATGGAGGGCCCAAGCCAAACTCTACTTGCTAAACATTAAGAAACCCAGCTCTTTACAAATGAAAAGATGTTTGCAAACTGATATGCAGTTGCATCACTGGAGATGTCCCATGTGCCAGGAAGCCCGGCCTCCACCTGTAAAGCCTCCCCAGCCTGCCCTGGCAACCCTTACCAGGTCAGCCGGTCATACTCGTTCTCCAGCTTATAAATGAAACTTCCCAGTGAGTTCTTCAGATCAGCTGCTTGACTCAGCAGTGCATCTAATGATGCCTCAAGCTGCTTTTCCTCCCTCTGCACCAATAGGAACAGGTTGGTTACCCAGATGGATGTGAATATGACACACAGAGAGGAAGGTTGAGGGGCCTGGGGGATAGTATGTAATACTGGTCAGGCAACATGGGATCTCACTGGCACAGGAAAACCAGGCTTGGTATTTGGGCTACAGACAGCATTTACCCTTAGACTTTTCAACCTGTTCACCAGATCTCAATTCTTCCTACTAACTGATTCCTTCTTTTCATCACCTTCTAAATCAGGCCTGGTTTTTCTTTGTATTATTGTTGTTATTAGGTACTCTCAAGTCGATTCTGACCCATAGCAACCCCATGTGATAGTAGATGCCCCATAGGATTTTCTTGGCAGTAATCCTTACAGAAACAAACCACCAGGTCTTCCCCCCACAGAGCCGGTGAGTGGGTACAAATCACCAACCTTACAGTTTGCAGATGGGCCTTAACTGCTGTGCTGCCAGAGCTCCTTTCTTTGTAGTATCAAAACCAAACCCACTGTCTTTAGTCAATTACAACTCAGAGCAACCCTGTAGGATAGAGGAGAACTGTCCCATAGGGTTTCCAAGGCTGTAAATCTTTTACAGAAGGACCACCACATCTTTCTCCCATGGAGTAGCTGGTGAGTTCAAACCACCATCCCTTCTGTTAGCTGAGAACTTTACTGTGCTGTGTATTTAGGTACACCCAATTCTACCTGAGAAATTTTCACCAAACCTAATGCCTGGGCTCATTATCTTTTATATACCTCTGCAGCACATGTACCCCAGCTTCCTGTGTCCTAGAACCTGTTTTGTGAGTCTGGCTATTCTTGCCAATGGCATAATCTCTAGGAAATCTACCCATGCATGAAGCTTACTCTGCATACCATTCATTCCCCCAAGATCTTCACCATTCCTTCCCCCAAGATCTTCATTTGCCCTCAGCATATCATGTCTCTAAGGTCTTCCTTCCTGAAATAATTTGCGCTCATTTTGTTTATCCCTCTGCCTCGTTCACAAGCTCAGTCAACCTTGTAGATACTGCAAGAACCTAAGTGACTGGTACTGTGAATACTTAATATGGCTCTTCTAACCATGGTCTTTGGAACTCTAACCAGATGACTGGGTGGAACTATTTAAATGTGAGATGATTTGTGGCCCACCAAGGGGATTACTAGCTTGTTAATAATGTAAACAAGGTACATGGTGCCCTTGTGGGGGTGGAACCATCTAAATATGGTGTGTGGAACCCTAATGTGGGGATTAGTCAGTTATGCCATTCACTAGGCTTAAAATGAGCTATCTCAGAGGTGGAAAGGGGATATCACTACCATCAAGAAAGAAAAGCCATGGGTAGAGTGTTTCCCTTGGACTTGAGATCCCTGAGCTGAGATGGTGAGGAGAGATGGCAGAGAGACAGCAAAGCAGAGGCAGCAGAACCAAGAGACTAGCACGGGACAGAGTGGTGGACTTACACAACCTTTGCATAAGAGGCTTGCTGCAGAGTAGGATCCTTTTCTGGGCACCTACTGGCAGAGCTAAAAGAGCTTTTTAACACTGGCCCAGGCAGGGCAGATGCCGAGGCCGAGGGATATGTGCCTGTGGTATGGCTGAGAAAAAATGTCCTGATTAAAGAACTGTATCCTGACTTGTTTCTGATCCTGAATTGTAACCTGTTATCTCTCTAATCTACCACTCATCTGCAAGTTTGTCATACTGTGGTGGCTTGTGTGCTGCTGTGATGCCGGAAGCCATGCCACCAGTATTTCAAATACCCATGGTGGACAGTTTTCAGCAGAGCTTCCAGCCTCAGACAGACTAGGATGAAAGATAGGGCCATGCACTTCTGAAAAGACTGGCCACTGAAAACCTTTTGAAAAGCAGTGAAACACTGTCTGACATAGTGTCAGAAGATGAGCCTCTCAGGTTAGAAGGCATTCAAAATATATAACGTGGCGATGCCCAGACCTCTATGACTGCTGCTTGACAAAGCTCCAGCTGTCAAGAGTCTTGGGCGGAAGCCAATTCCACCTTTACTTCCGATTGTATTCTGGTCCATTATCTTAATTGTTACAATAATCTTTATGGTGATCATGCTCCTTCTGGTTCATCCCAGAGGGTCCAAAACGGATTTTCATGTTTCCCATGAATCAGGCCACCTTCCAGATGACTCTCTGATTTCCAGTTCCAAAAACCCCGGTTTTCCTAGAAATCCCCATGATGATCCAGAGCTGGAAAGGCCCCTGGGAATCCTAAAGACACTGAGAATTCATATTGGTGGAAAGATCTCATGGCTACTCAACCTCTTACAATACCGACCCCTGCAACACAACATAGAAAAGGGATTACTCCTGATAGGAAAAAACCTTGGCCTAAGTGGCTGCCTCCTACTTTTAAGCCTCCTTTTAATGTAGCTTATAGAATTAATGGTAGACTTTGGTATCCTCCTCGGGGAGGGGAGCCTAAACCTTCCCGATGGCCTAACCTTCCTCTTTCTTATACTGGGGCATACATAGAAGGTAAAAGAATGGTGTGGGTAGATGGAAAAAGAGTTCCTTTTAACTCTCTCCCTTTCTTAGAGAGCTTAAAACGATCAGGGCCTAGATGTAAAACTACTGCACAGAGACATACTCTAATCACGCAAGGGAACAGTTATTTTAAGAAACTAAAAGGCCACAGGGAGCTCTGGTAGCATAGTGGCTAAGGCACTTGACTGCTAACCAGAAGGCTGGCGGTTCAAACCCACCAGCCACTCTTCAGAAGGAAGGTCAGGCAATCCTACTTCCATAGTGATACTGCCTCGGAAACCCAAGGAGGGGTCGCTATGAGTCAGGGCTGACTTGACGGCACATAACAACAACAACAACAACAAAAGGCCACAAGTATATGTTGCTGGACTATGTAGACCCATCTGCACCCCCAGACTCGTGGTAATTCAGAGAATGATGCCAACCACAAGGTTGGGTCACACGTTCTGGCCCCATGTTGTATTCTTCACCCTGACCATTTTTTCATGTTTTAGTTAACCTTATTGTCTAGCACATTTTATTTTTATAATGTTAATGATAAATAACTTAGATAAGATAAGATGTAAGTTTAGTTTATAAGTTTAATAATAGTTTTATAAGTTTTGGAAAGTTAATAGCCCACAGCCATGTACCTAGAATTGTGGGTTTGTCATTTTGCTTTGTCATTTGTAATCTGCAATATAGTATAAAACAAAGAAGGCCACCTCATTATGTGGGGCACATCTTCATCTTGTGTGAGTGTGCCTCCATCATCTCACCGACGCCACCTCTCCCTCCAGAGACCCACAGCTGAGGCTGGACCTCGGCAATAACGCATGGTAGAAGGTCTGCGATAAAGGGGAAGACCCTCAATGCGACAGAGGGACACTGTGGCTGCAAAGATGGGTTCAAGCATAGCAAAGACTGTGAGGATGGTGCAGGACCGGGCAGTGTTTCATTCTGTTGTATAAAGGGTCACTATGACTTGGCGCGAACTCGATGACCCCTAAAAATAACACTTCCCTAATAAACCCTATAATCATGAGTATTGTATGTGAGTTCTGAGTGGCCACTGCAAGGAATTCTCGAACCCAGCAGAGAAGTAGAGAGTGCTGTGGGAGGGACAGTTGGTGTTGGAGTTAGTAGATATATCTATCTGAGGATTGTGGCATGTCTGACTTTCACTTTACAGGAATCAGCCTTGGGCTGTTGATGTTGTTCTTGATCCTCCTTCCCTCTTGTGAAGTTAAAGGATGTCAGAGGATGCTGCCACACCCTTTTTGCAGTGACAAATGAAAAATTAAAAATGTACATGCTACTAAACACTAGACAATTTTAAATGCTTGGGTCTGCAAAGCATTTCCTCTCCACTTATGGTCCCCAGTTTTACTCCATTTTTTCAACTTTAACAGCAATCAGGCAGAGGCTAGGAAGAATGATGCAAATCATCTTGCAAACTCACTAACGTGCTTGACCAAACCAAACCAAACCCACTCACTATAGGGTCGAGTCTCACTCACAGGGAGCCTGTAGAACAGAGAATTGCCCCATGGGGTTTCTGAGGCTGTAACTCTTTACAGAAGTAGACTGCCTCATCTTTCTCCTGCGAGCACTTTGTTGTTGTTGTTATGTGCCGTCGAGTCGGCCCCGACTCATAGCGACCCCTCCTTGGGTTTCCGAGGCAGTATCACTACGGAAGTAGGATTGCCCAACCTTCCTTCCGAGGAGTGGCTGGTGGGTTTGAACCACCAGCCTTCTGGTTAGCAGTCAAGTGCTTTAGCCACTATGCTACCAGAGCTCCTGCGAGCACTTAGTGGGTTCGAATTGCCCACCTTTTGTTTAGCAGATGAATGCTTTAACCACTGCCACTAAAGCTCCTTAATGTTCCTGAAGGGAGCTTTAATCATACGTTCCACCCACGGACTGATATATCTCGTTTAGTTTTCGGTCGGTGTCCCCACAATTCCTTCACCCCTCAGACTTCTCTCTCAAGATCAGATTGCGTTATCTCTACATCCAATAGCCTCCTACCAGCCCTGAGGCAACCGATAACTTTCTAGAGAAATCTTCCAAGGACTGCATCTCGGCCTGCTCAAATTACAACTGAATCGCTTCCCACACCCCAGCAAATCAGTGCTACTTCCTATCTTCCGATTTAGCCGTGTCTCTCCTGTCAGATAGGCCCCACCTTTACCTCTCATCAGCTGCACTCCCTCTCCTGCCAACCTCGCGTTCCCTTACCCGTCAGTTGCGGGCTCTAACACATCGTCTCAGCCCCAACTTCTCACTGTCTCCTCAGCCAGTCCACTTTCGGTGCCCTCACCCGACGCTTACAGGCATTTAACAGACCCAACCCAGTTCTCACCTGCATTGCGGTGGCAGTGGCAGTAGCAACGACTTGCACTTCCGGCTTCCAAGTCAGCGAGCAGGTCTGGAAGAGCTTCGCCCACCAATCAGAAAACTTGCACTCGGTCCTCCCACCCACTTCCGGTTCCTGTCAGGTGTCGGGGTGGCTGGGTCAGAGGTCAAGAGCGGAACAGCCTCCCGGGCCCTAACCGGCGCGGGAGGGCTGTGATGGCTTCGGAGCGCCCGGAGCCGGAGGTGAGGGGCGGGTGGACGCAGTCTGGGCCCGGGGATCCGAGGTGTGGGGCCGGCGGGCAGGCGCAGCTGTGGCTTTCGGCAGGCCTGAGAGCGTCCGTGTAGTGCATCTTTAGCAGGAACCGGCCCTACCCCCAAGACTTGAAAACTTAACCCGTTCGCGATTCAGTGTTTCCCCTGGGGGCTGGAGGAGAAACTTTTCGCTTTGTTTTGTTTAGTGAACTTTACTTCACAGACTAGCGCTTTCGGGATTCTTTGCCCTAACGTATTAACAAAGCTTGTATATTGGTTTTTTGATAGGCTTTTTGGCAGGCTTCTGCATTTCTTCAAGCAGTGCATGCCATCAGCAGTATAAATTAATTTAGTTTTAGTACACATGCTTTTTTGGAAAGCCGATTCTGGTTTGCATGAAAGAACATTTGACTGGAAGTGAGATTTAATTCTCACATTGGCCCTTCTGTCTAGCTACCTGTGCAATCTCTGACAAACCTTAACTTCCCTGATTCTGTACCTTTCTTTATAAAGTACCTACCTTATGGTGTGTTGTGAGAACTACGTGTATTAAACCAGAAAATGCATATGAGGTATGCTTTAGGTGCTGAGGACCACACAGGGATCTGTGTTATTCAAACTTGTGCAGGGAAGGTGGCAATATCCATTCTCATTAAGATAAGAAACTGAGTAGAGAGGTTTAAATACCTTGCTCAAGTAATACTCAGCTGGGGAGTAGCAGAGTTTTAGTTAGAAGACCTGAGCATCAAGTCTGCCATATGCAAAGAATACTACCCACTAGGAGAAGTGCCCAATATTACAAGAGAATATACGAGTAGGTGGGAAGAGTGTGGAATGTATATAACGATATAAATGGTAGTCATTACTCACAGAATACTTAAACCATGCCTGCAACTATTCTAAGCACTTTACGAATGTCAATCCTTTCAACCTTATGAAGTAGATACTATTATTATCCCTATTTTTCAGTTGAGAAGACAGGCACAGAGATATTAAGAGAAGACACACAGCTAGTAAATGGTAGAGCTAAGATGTAAAAGCAGGTGGTCTGACTCCGGAGCCTATGTTCTCAACCATAAGTTGTATAGCATAAATAATCAAAGTAATCACAGGATAGCAAATACTCAGTTCTTTGGGACTTTGTGTGATGAGACCAGAGAGCAAATATGGTTGTATGCCCTGTTGAAAGAATCATACCTATTCACAGTGTTGTTGTTGTTGTTTGCCGTCGAGTAGACCCGACTCATAATGACCCCTCCTTGGGTTTCCGAGGTGGTATCACTACAGAAGTAGATTGCTCAACCCTCCTTCTGAGGAGTGGCTGGTGGGTTTGAACCGCCAACCTTCTGGTTAGCCTTAGGCACTATGCTACCAGATCTCCTTTCACGGTGGTAGTGTGCTCCATATGTCAGAAATACCAATATTGAGAAAGACCCTGAAAGCAGTTGTATTTTGTTACAGATAAGGAAGAGAGGAAGTAGAAGGAAATTGTGGAGATATATAACATAGCTTGTAGGTAGAAAATCTAATACAGCACCAGCCAGTAGAAATATAATGCAAGCCACATATGTAATTTTAAATTTTCTAGTAGCTACATAAAAGTAAATTATTGAAACAGGTGAAATGAATTTTAATATGTTTTATTTAACCTAGTATTTCCAAAATATAATTTCAATATATAATCAGTATAAGAAAACTGAGATATTTAACTTTTTTTTTTTTTTTGTATCAGGTCTTCAAATCCAGTGTGTATTTTATGCTTAAAGCACATCTCAGTTTGAATTAGTCACATTTCAAGTGCTCAGTAGTTCATATGGCTAGTTGTTACCATATTGAACAATATAGGTCTAAACTAAGTTGGAGTTGAGACATTCACTCCTGGGAGTCTCATTCAGCCAAAAGTTAAACTTTTGTTAAGTTCTTGATTTGCATTTCTGAAAATTTTATTTCAGAAGGGAAAGAGTGAAGAGAGCTGCCCCCGGGTATAAGAAAGTAACTGACTTTTAGAGATTGTTATAATACCAAGAGAGGAAGATTGGGGCATAGTCAGACACATGACCTAGATTTAAGAAATCATACATTCATCACATACGTAAAATATTTAATGAGTGCTGCTATGGACTCAGCATTGTGCTAAGTATCAGGGTGGATACAGAACAGTGGAAAACATACATGGTTCTCTCTTTATGTAGTAAGCAAACATTGGGTTATGATAGTAAGTGATGCTAATATGAGTAAGTAAGAGTGTTTAACAGTGATTCTTAACCTACTTTCTTAAGAAATAGGAGGGAGATGGATCAGGGAAGCCTTCTCAGAGGCATGAGATTTAAGCTGAGGCCTGAAGGATAGGTAGAAGTTGGCCATGGGAAAAGGCAGAGAGCATTACAGGAAGGGAATGGTAAAGATCCTTAGGCGAAGGCTTGGAGTCTTCACGGAACTGAGGAAGCAGCTGGTAATATGGGAGCAACATGACACTGAGAATAAACCAAAGCAAACCCGTTGCTGTCAACTCCATTCCAACTCGTAGCAACCCTGTAGCACAGAGTAGAACTGCCTCATACTGTTTCCATGGCTGTAATCTTCATGGAAGCTGATTGCTACATCTTTCTCCCGAGAGGTGGCTGGTGGGTTCAAACTGCCAACCTTTCTTTCGGTTAGCAGTGAAGTGCTTAACCACTGTACCACCAGGGCTTCTTGACAATGAGAATGTTGTTCTTGTTAGGTGCCAACAATGAGAATAGCTGTCACCTAGTGAGTACTTACTAAAACCAAAAACCAGACTCGCTGCCATCGAGTCGATTCCTCCTCAACTCATAGCAACCCAGATTGGGTTTCCGAGGCGGTAAATCTTTACAAAGGAGATTGCCCAGTCTTCCTTCCGTGGAGTGGCTGGTGGGTTTGAACCACCAACCTTCTGGTTGGCAGTCAAATGCCTTAGACACTACACCACTGGAGCTCCTTTGAATACTTACTAAATACTGTTTAATTCTCACAAAATCCCCATGAGATAGTGTTATTATCCCTGTTTCACAGATGAGGAAACTAAGGCACAGATGTTAAAGAACTTGATCAAGGCCATATAGCTAATAAGCAGGAGAACCAGAGTTTGATTCCAGTCACTGGTGCTAGAGTTCATGCTCTTAACTGAGGGGTGAGAGATGAGGCTAGAAGTGAAGATTCAGGTTGGGGCCATGCTAGAGATTCAGGACTTTGGAAAGGAAGTTTCAGACAGTTCAAGGGAAAAATCTACATTATTTCATGGAAGTCTTTTAACAAAAGACAAACAAGGGTTGACAAAGGCTTGAAATATAATTCAGACCTTAGTCATAGAGGGACAAATGCAAAAACAAATTAATGAGATGGACAGTGTTTCATTCGACCTGGTATACATGGTATGCAGCATAATGCCTGATAATGTTTTATTAAAAATAAATAATGTAATGTAAATGGTATGTGGGACTCAGTAAATATTCCAAAGAATGATAGGCTGCCTCTATCATTGTCGTAATCTTCATGTTTAAGTGCAGCAACATCCCTATGAAGTAGGTATTCTTATTTACATTTTATCAGTGAAGAAATTAAGGCCTGAAAAATTTAAGTAACTTGTTCTAGGTATCCTGACAGCAAGTGACAGAACCAGATTTGAATCCAGGTCTCTGACTCCAAAACTCCAAAACCCTGCTTTGTTTTATTAGATTACTCCAAGAGTAACGTGCATTCATTTAGACTTCAGGGGAATTAAAAGTTGGGAAATAGAAGTTTCATGAGAGTGTGGGTACTGTGAGAGGACAGCTAATTCAGGGATTCTGAAACATTCATATGGAGAATCACTTGGGGAGTTTGTTAAAATGCAGATTTCTGAGCCCCATCAACTCTAATTCAGTTGGTCTGGGGTGGTACCTGGGAGCTCTGGTTGTGTAGTGCCTAAGGCATTTGACTGGGAATCAGAAGGCTGGCGGTTCAAACCCACCAGCCACTCCTCGGAAGGAACATTGGGCAATCTACTTCCACCTCAGAAACCCAAGGAGGGGTTGCTATGAGTTAGATCGGCTTGATAGCAGTGAGTTTGGTTTGGTTGGGGTGGTGCCCAGGAATCTGCATTTTAATAAGTACCTCACTTGATTCTGATGCAGCCAGCCCTTGGATCATACTTTGAGAAGCACCATTCTGGCTGCTTTTAAATTAGTTCTTAAGTCTTCTGGTTTTGATAAATTACTTCTTAAACATAAAGGGAACTTAGAAATGATGTCTTAAAAATGTAAAGGATCATGTATGAGGGGGACTGTTACTAGAAAGCTCAAGTTAGGCAAATGTTTCTGATTCCTAGACTCTGGATTTTATAAGAACTAATTGATGATCTAGACTTCATTTTAGCCTTGGACATTCAGTTCATCATTCACAATAACCTTTGAGACAAGGTGGAGAAATGGAAGCTGTGCAGGAGTGAAATTAAGTGACCTACTAACACTCTGAAGAAAGTGTTTTAATAGCAGACTGCTTGCCTATATCATCAATGTAGTTTACCCTTTTTCCCTCCTCACCTAGCAAACCTTGCTCAACTTTCTGTGTCACTTTATCCTGAAACCCTAGCCTGAGTTAGATTACTTTGTTACATGCCGTCATATACTTTGTTACATGCTCCAAACATAAACTTGGAGAATTTATTCAGTTTGTGATACAGTAATTAGAATCATTATTTCATTAATGATTTTGCCCTCCATTATAGGCTACATTTTATGAGAGCAGGAAATGCTTGATTTATGTTTTCTATGAGTCAGGTTTGACTCGACGGCACATAACAACA